CATGCATGAGGTCCTGGTTCAATCCCCAGTACTTCCTATAAAAATAAATAAGCCTAATTACCTCCCCCCTCCCACTGCAAAAATAAAAGAAACGATACAATAATAAATAAACTTTTTTAAAAAAAAATACAGCCTGTAGAGACTCCCAGAGAAAAGAGCGGGGAGGAAATGGAGAATATAAAGGAGTAAAAGGAAGAAGTTAGGATGAGGGAGAGGAGCAGAAAGAGCAAAGGAAAATGAGATGACGAGGCGGAGGGGAGAGGGGACCGGCAGGCAGGCGATAGGCCGGTGCCCGGGACACAGCAGGGACAGGAGGGAGGTCTGCGGTCTATCTGCCCGAGGTGGCTCAGGAAGGTGAGCGGAAGGCCATGCCCGGGCATTTTACAGCATTTGGGTAAGGCTCAGTCCTAGTAAGAGCGTCGCAGCAACCCAAATTGTCCTGCCGCCTCCCCCTGCCCCCAGAACGAGGCTGCTTAATTAGCAGGGGGCTCGCCAGGCCTGCACTGAGTCAAAGCGGAAGGGCCACATACGGCAGAGTCGAAGAGACATCCTGGAAGAACGGGAAGATGACCTAGTGATAAGGGGCAATCTGCCCCATGTGGCCACACTTCCAGAGCGACCTCATCAAAGCCCTCAGCCTCCCATGACGCCACCGCTATATCCGTGACACTGCTCCTACACCCGTGACCCCGCCCCTGTGCCCATGACCCCGCCCCTGTGCCCGTGATGCTGCTCTTATATCCATATTGACTCACGGACACAGGGGCATGTCCTGATGGCGAACTAACCTACTGCTTAGTCACTCAGGGACTCCAGCTCTTTTCATTGACCTGCGGGTTTTGCTGGGTTTACTCAGTGTACGTACACATACACACACACACACCCCCATCTACATACTCTGTACAACGGATAGAAATGTTGACAGCTAAGAATGCTAGGATGCTCTGGGTCACGACTACCTAACACTACATTCCTGACACCGGCTTTAAACCTGTGCCTTGTTCAGAAGCCGTGGGTCCTGCCCGATTCTCCACAGAGCAATTGGCAGCTTTCTAGTGTAAAAGACTTCATCAAAAGCCCCAGAAAATCTCCAGATCCCACCTCGACAGTCTACTTCACAAACCAGCCCTGTATCTGAGCCAGAGAAGCGAGAGATTTTGATAAAATGTTCACAGTACTCTTTACCCAGGGAAGGCCGCCGTCCAGCAGCCGGCTGACAGCATCACCACCCAGGGTGGGGAGCTCTGTTTCGGAAAGGTTGCCCCCTTATTTCTGGATAGGCCAAGTGACAAAGTTTCCGATCCTCAATCACAAACCCTACAATCACAAACCTTTTGAACACTTTTGTTTTTTAAACTGAAGTATTATTAAGTGCTAGAAACCCAACTCAGTTTCCAAGCTCTTTATATAAGGCACTACGGTCAATCCTCCTGGGAGCCTGTAAGGTAGGTTAATATGATGGTCCTTGCTTTACAGATGAGAAACCTAAGTCACAGAGCCCAAGGAGTATTTCTTAAATCAAGTAGCGATACACAGAGAAAAGGAGATTTGAGCCCAGGCGGTCTCGCTTCACTGTCTCCTCTTACACACAGGCTATTTTTATCTAAGGTATGTCCTTATCTGTGCACAGAACCACACAGGATGTTCATTACAGCATCATTTATACAGCTGAGAAAGTAAGAAAAACCCGCTACCACCAGCAGAGAAGCAGATACATAATACATCGTACTATGGGATATCACGTAGTATTTAAAAGAAAGGAGCTATAGTAACATGGAAACGCAAGGAAAATCTTTCATTCATGTGGTGAAGTTAAAAAAAAAACTTATTACAGAATAATATGGAACATTCAGTTAATATTGCAGAATACGGTATTAAAATATCATTTTAATTAAGAACTGTGTGTAGGTATAAACGCACAGAAACAGGTAGCCAAGGTGAACAGATCCATTACATGCAGATAACAGATGTTACCCTGAGGGAGGGGAGCAGCCCAGTGGGATTTCAGGGCAGGAAGGAGGGCGGTTCAAAGGGCACCTCCATCCATGTGTATGTCTGATAACTCAGAATAAGGATGTATTCACAGATTTCTCATGGATAATTAAACCAGGATCAAGGAAGTGTTTTCTTTAGCAGCTGTTACATGCCAGCCATCAAGTACTTTACGGCGATCTTATCTCATTCTAGCACAACTCTGATTAGTCATATTTTGATCATTACGGCCAATGTAACAGGAGACGAGAACAGTAAGATGCCATGTGTTTACATCATTCACCTTGCTACCTGGGAAGCTTAGATTCACGTTCCAGTCTCTCGCCACCCAGGCTGAGGTGGAAAAGGCTGACTAACAAGTTGGAGACGAGGGCTGAGAGGAGGAGGCGTGCAGGCCACCCCCAGCACAGCGGAGCCCGGCCTTACCGCAGCGATCCCGGATCACCAGGTTCCGGCCCTCCTTCAGGTGGATGGTGAGGAGGTAGGCGAAGGTGCTGGGCAGGCTGCTCAAGCCATCGCCGGCTTCCCTGAGAGTCTGCACAGATGGAGAGGTCAGTTCAGGTCAGTTGTCTGGGGCCCAAGAAACAGAACGTCGGAAGGAAAAGGGCGACCCCTGCCATGGCACATCTTAAGGGGCCATCCCCACTCCCACCCACGTGGAGGACGTGGTCACACTGTTCTGTTAACACGTCCTTATCTTTCTCCCAGCAGGAGTCTATCAGAATTCATGATAATATCTTTGCAGTATTAACTTTCCAAGAAGAGTCAGATAAGGTGCACGCCAACACCTGAAATCCCCTTAAAGCCCACGTCCCGCAGGACCCTTTATGTCATAACTTCCGGCGGGGCACGCGGAAGGACGGCTGTGTTCAAGCTCCCGTGAACAGGTGTCCACACCTCTGAGCTCGTATGGATGAGGACTCCCACTTCTTCCCCCAGAGCCCCGCCCACCTCCATCAATTCTGGTGCACCGCCCTCCCCCCCACGTGTCATAGCAACGCTGGAGTTCATGACTGACTCAGCCCACTGCCTACGGAACCACGTCCATCGGACAGGGAGCCTGCCCTGTGTCCACGCGGGACACACTTCCTCTCTGTTTAGTGCTCCCCTGCCTGTTGCATGTTTTTCTTTCATTCCCTGTGCCCCACGGAGGCATCTCCTACACGTCACTCCCACAGTCTCACCTTCCCCCAAGTTCACTTCCCTTTCCAGGAAAACATCAACTCCCACAGGCCATGATACCAAATTCAAGCCTATTTTCAAATATTTATTATACGAATCCAACGAACATTTTGAAGAGTGCAAAATTTCGTCTCTTGAAAGACAAAGTACAGGTGAAATGATTTTATTGTCCCTTTATTTGACATTCAATTAATCGATCTTGAGGCTGAGTCATTCTGGACGGCCTTCTTGTCAAAGTTTCTCAGCCCCTGTTTCAAAGCACTTCCAAATGGCTTTGTCTCCTGCACGCTCACTCAACTTCATGGCTGCTCTGTATTTTTAGAAGAATCTATTCCACTCTGACTAATCAATGGACACTGAATTAATCTTTTCCAGCTACAATTTGCAAAGTCTGTCTTTGCAGGTGGATACAATTCGGCACCCTTTAGAAAGAAAGCAGGCAAAGAGACACAGATTCAAACATTTGCTAAGAAATATTTACAGTTTAGTGTTTGTTTTTCAGGAATGTCACTCACAGATTGCTCTTCAAAATGTTGGGATGTCAGAGAAGCATTCAGATCACCACTTCCACAGAGCATCTGTAAATAAGAAAAAAATAATAATAAAATAATAATAATAATTGCTGTAAGGAAAGCAAAAGACTATCGACCTGCAAAGATAGCCCTTATCGGGTCTCCTCCCCCTTTGAATCTGCCGTTTGCATGCTTGATTCACACAAGCGGGTTGCCTTCCGGTGTGTGTGGCAAGTCTTGGCAGAAGGTTGACTCACCGGAGTCCATTTGGCTGCAGCCTCTACCATCTTAGTCACAGATCAGAGTGTGGATAAGGCGGGCCTGATCCTGCTGGGCCACTGAGGCATCTCTAGTTCATCCAAGTTATTAGCATGCCAGCAGCTTTGTCCCAGCAGAGGACATGGGAGTAGCAGGGCCATCCTGCCAGGTCCCTCCATCGGGGGCCTGCCTGGACCCCAGCCATCAGATAGAAGAGGGCAGATCAGGTATCAGAGACCTGAGCTTATCAGTCAAGTAGGAAACGTTTCAAATGTGATAAGAAAGACCTTCCTCCAACCACAACCTCATGAGTCCAGCAACTGTACAAGAACTAACCAAAAAGGAGACATGCAAACGTTCAGCAAATGATCTCAGATGGGCGGTGTCTACAGCTCCTACTTTAAACATGCCTCGGGCACCCAGGAAATGAGTCCATGGGGCAATGAAGGGGGCAGGGTTTGGGACACAGACATCTGCATCGTATCAGATTTTATATGCACGAATGCGAGGTCCAGAGGAGCTCTGGGATTTTCTGAAGGTTCCGTGGTGAGGATGGCTGCCAGCATGGAAGGGCACGGAGGACGGGAAACCAGCAAATGGTCTCCCAGCATCTGGGGTGTGTTTCTGTTTGTTGGACACATTAGCCGGGGCTGATTTCCTGTGGGAAAACATGAGATTTCTTCCTCCAAACAAGGCTGAGTAACTCTGAAGCTATGGGTAAATGCAGACACAGGTGGCAGGCCTGCAGAGGCTGTTTAAATGACCCTGAAGTTGTGGGGGAGGGAGGCGAAGGTGGGGACGAGAGGCACTGTAGCCATTGGTCCCTCCCACCCACAGCAACAATCAGGGAGGTCGTGGCAAACTGAGAGACCCCGCCTGGATGGAAGGCACGTTGTCTTCCAAGACACTGACTCTCTCTCTTTCTCAAGTGGAGCTCAGGCAGCAAGAGAACCTGGGTCTCCAGAGACGGAGAACATTTCTTCAGGCCCCAAGAGGGCTGAGGAAGGGCTCCGGACAAGCAGGAGCTCTCAGGTCCACCCCTTCTGCCCACAGCGACATCAAGAAACGCTGCTACTCAGAGGCAATGAGCCCTGATCACAAGTCAGCGTGGGGACCTGCACGCCCCCACCAGGGAGAACAGAAACCCTGAATATAGTTCTTTGCATCCATACATCTCCCATCACATCTGCCTCTTTCTCCCAGTCCCAGGTCCAATGTCTCTGGATTGTGAATATATTCCATTCAATTCAGGTTCATTCACGCAGGACCAAGGGTCCTTTGTCTAAGGACCCCAGCACTTCAGTCACCGGAGCCCCCTGGCTCTGGAAGAACCATCACTGCTCAGCTGGGCAAAGAGCCCTCAACTCTCAACATGGGCTCTACCTGATAAGCCAACAAGGAAGGAGGCAGCCGGGACTCTGCTGGTCCCCTCCCTGTCTGGTTCCTGGTTGGTACCTCCTAACTTTGTTATGTGTAAAAAGACACCCAGGAGAGTGGACAGGACCCCCTGAAGTCCACATTACGCCAACGCTCAAACCTTATGCAGCTCTCGCAATTTCCTCCCAATGCCTTTTACACTATTACAAGCCACACGACTATCTCCTGGAAGCTTAGCAATTCTTCTTCTGCTTGATTTATAAAACCAAGAACAGCCCCACCAGGCTCTCAGGTGCAGAACCAACGAGTAACATCTGCTGTCTGATCTTCTATAACCTGAACACCCCACTTAGTGTCTCCAGTTTTATTAAATGAATCAGCGCTTCACGGAACCAACTGCACAGAACTATCAGTGCCAGGATCAGAATTTCCGACGTGCTTGGTTATCAGCTGAGGAACATAATGGTCCAGTATCCTCTACTGTCAAACACAAGAGCGAACGTGCTTACCGAGCCACACCCCTCAGACCAGCAGACCATATACACTCTCCGAAATTAGCCTCCCTGCTTTCAGTGAGAACGCTGATCAAGTGACAAGATGACGCCACACCACCACCATCATTTACACGCTGTCAGAAACGGACACGGGGCTTTTATTCAAATACGCGGTTAAGTCTTCCACCTACCGCGACGTGGAAACTAAATGTGAAGAATGACATTAATTCAACATTATGGCTGGTTTTACTCACAGAAAAGTCACAGAACTTAAAGTAATGGCTCCCACAGCCACCGTAACTGTCACACACTGTATGTGCACACGAAGGAAGGGAAGCGATCTCCGTAAAGAGCAGAAAGGCAATGGAAGCACAGGAGGACAGGGTTCCAGCCACGGGGGGCGCATCGCTTGGAGTCTTCCCCTACACTCTGCACCGGGCCCACAGGGTGGTTCACCGAGGGCCAGCTGCACCATTTACACCTTCTTTGTAAACCAAGCAAACCACAGCAAAGAGGTTTTCATTTTAAAAGTGCACAATTAATATTCTTCTCACCGGGGAGCCCTGGTATCCGTTATCATTAGAGTATTTTGTAGTTGTTCTCGACAAGTAGAATCCAGCACTCTCATTGTCCTTTCTCAATTTTATTGTTCAAAAGTTAACACACAGTAAAACTGGCTTTTTCACACGTGCACAAAATACTTTGACGTTTTAACCTCTGCAGATATTTGAGTAACCCTCGCCACCATCAGGACACAGAACTCTGCTATCAACCCCTAAAAGGCCCTGTGTGTCATCCCACTGTGGTCAAACGGGTCCCCCATCCCTAATCCAGGGCTGCCACTGATCTGTTCCCCTCCTACAGTTTCATTTTCACCCCAGAATATCGTATAAATGGAATTAGACAGCATACAGACTTCTGACACTGTCTGACATCATTCACTCAGCACAATGCCTCTGAAATCCATTCAGGTTAACATCTGGATAAATAGTTCTTTTCTTAATTGCTGAATAGTATTGCACCATTGAGTGCAACATTGTGTGTTTATCCATTAAGCACTGGTCTTAAGCATTTTAAACAAATGTTTCCAAGGACGCACTCACGAAAAGATAAATAACTTTGAATATCATCAATGCTGCAAAATCAAAGTCTTAACATGACATAACTCTCTAGTCATGTACAAACATTCAGAAACTCAGCGTTAACATCTTGGCATGAGGCTGTCTTCTCTCACACAACTCTCACTGTTATCTTTCAGATAACTCGGGTTTGTGTGTGTGTGCGCATGCGTGCATGCGTGTGTGTGTGCATGTGCACGCACACAAAAGTGGTGAGTTTTTTTTTTAATGAGAGCAAATTTGCATTGATATTTCCATTGTATCTTGCTAAGGTGAAATTTATAGAAAGGTAATACATACTTTGAATTCTCTTTAGATGAGGCTCCCCAATCTGCAAGGTTACAAACTTAGTAAAATGGGGAGATTATTCTGAATGGATGGGTCGATTACTTTTCAAAAAGGAAAATCTCCTCTTCTCACCACCAAGGGTCTTAAGAGCAGGACACTGATATGAAAAAACAACATTTTCTTTCGTGTACACTAAATGTGACCTTGTACAAATAACACCTCCCACGTGGCTGTCTGAAGGATCTTACCATGAAGAACACACAGGAAGTCAAATAATAAATGATGTAAACAATCACTGGCTATTTAAACTTTTAGTGGAAGAAGTCATAAACCCACATCCAGGGAAGCTGAGTACAAAGCTGGCTGAGAAGATCATTTAGATGGTCTTCAGAAAATATTCAAGTGTTCTAAGTTTACCAAATGATACACACAATGCATCTTTACTTAATTACTTAACCCACATCTGCTATTAAGCATACAAACACTCAGGACGGGAGCAGCCATGGACACAGATACCGACGGGGCAAAGAAAGCAGCAGAAGGAGCCAAGGGGATCAGACGGCGAGACAGACTGTGAAGCAATGCCTGGATGCAGCGACAAAACCAAAACAACCCGCGAGGCAATGAGCGGTCAAAATCAGAACGCCAGTTCAGAACAACTGGGTCTACCAAACGGCTGAGCCTGCTCATGTGCAACTCTTACACAATTTTTTAGGTTACTGAGCAAGGTACATACACGTTTATTTTTCCTCCACCCCCAAGATCGTTCTCTTACAGCGACTACTCTAGAATACCACCTGATGCACAAAATACTAAGTCAGGTGTGTGTGCGCATGTATGTGTGTGTGTGTGTGTGTGTGTGTGTGTGTGCAACACATTCACTATAACAGACCAGCAGACTAAACCCTACCACTTATTTTTACAGAGAAAGTTTTAAACTTTGAAACACAGCCCCGCCGATTCATTTCTATATTGCCTATGTCTGTATTTATATATTTTCGAAGGCTAATTTCATGCTACACCACCAGGGCTGAATAGTTGCAACAGAGAGCATCTTGTGGCTCAAATAGCTGGACCTATCGATTACCTGGCCTGTTACAGAAAACGTGTGCCAACCCTGGCGTGATAAACTTTTCTTACCATACTCAGTAAGATATGCCCACTGACCTTCCATAATTTCTTTTCATGACTGTTAGCAGGAGATAGTTTAAAAGAATCATGGTGCCCTCTTTCGCTTTGCTCAGCTTGGCACTTTATAATTCACAAATATGCACTCTTATTAACTTCTTATAAGTCCATGGGCCGTCATTCGTAATTTACAATTTACACGTTTACAGATAGAGAGCTAGAGCGTAAAAGACTGAACAGCTGTCAAAGAGAAGCGCTTCCCCCGGCACCGCGGGCGTCCACTCTTGACTGCGCCACAACTGTGCCCAGAACCAGGAGAACCCGAACCCAGGACACCTCGCCTCACACCGAGAGGCAGCTCTGCACGGTGGGAGACAACACTCTGGAGGCACAAAATCCTGGACCTGAATCCCACTTCTGCTACTTCCTAGCTCTGTGTCCTTGAAAAATTTACTTAAAAGTCCATAACCTGCAAACATCTCTAACAGGGGCAAAAAGATATTTCCCTTTTAGGTTGGTAGAGGAAAGAAAAAAAATCATTCATTTACAGATAACTACTGAGTAGCTTCTCTGGGCCAGACACTGTACGAGATTCTTTGTGTAAGGAGGGAGCCCAACAGATGTGGTCCAACAAGATAATGTTTATTTGTATCGCACTAAGCAGAGTTCTTACCAATCAGTAGATCGGGGTTGCTATTCTATTATTTTCATCACTATGAGAACAGGAGATGCGCTTGGGAAGACTGGAAAAAACAACTCAAAGAAAATGGTCAGCAACTCAAGTCCCTTCCTTGGTCCTGACCATCCTTTCCCCTCAGACACGTTCCCATGACAGATACACAATCAAGGTACCTCTCGGGACACTGCCATCCGCCCCTCTCCACACAGTTTATCAACCAGTGCCACTCCCTGCAAGCTTCCCATCCGAGGCGAACCTGCTGACGGCTATTCCCAGTGTCCACAGCAGGCTGAGCAAGCACCACGCACATGCTATGAATCCATCTATCCTGCCCTGGCTGTGAGCAACCCGGCCCCGAGCCCGCAGGGCTCCTTTGCATCTGCTCATCCAGGGCCCGGGGTGGTCGTTCCGGCAGCAGAGTTCCCAGCAGGATGGGAACGCCTGCGGGGTACGGCCTCAGAAGTGACTACGACACCTCCTGCACCCTCACTAGTCACGCCGCTTTCTCACTCTTCCTGAAACACACCAGGCACACTCCCGCCCCCCCGGGAACCTGCATCCTGGCTGCCCTCTCCTCCAGAGATGCCGTTCCTACAGACACACACACAACCTGCTGCCTCGCCCCCATTAGGCCTTTATGTAAATGTTATCATCTCAGAAGGGACAGTTCCTGATCGCTGGCTTCACAACGGCAACACCTGCGCCACGGCGCTCCCCCGTGCCTTCTCTGCTTTATTTTGCTCCATTAAATCTATCGCTTTCTGAATCTCCCTGGGGCCTCCCACCATTTAGAATAGAATCTCTTAAGGAAACAGATTTTTGTTTGTTCTGTTGACTGCTGTGTTCCTAGTGCCTTAGAGCAGATCAGCACATGGTAGGTACTCAACGGATGGGGAAGGAGGGAGGAAAAAAGGAGAAAGGGGTCAATTCCCACGAAGGGCCCCAGGACACGGCTTACAGGCCCGTCTTGCTGACACGATTTATGTTGAGTAATGATTTTTCAGGTAAGACAAAAATAGTGAAGACCAGGTAATTTAAGTGTAGAGAAAGTGGTGTACTTGTTTCATCTGCAAGTTGTAGCTTGTTTCCTCTCCTCTGTGGTTTGTCATTTTGTTTTTCTGTGGTCACTAGAGTTCCTGGAAATGCCCCAGAGGGTACTTCTCTAAACCACTCTCCTCATCCACATCAGCTTGCACCCAAGCCAGCTGTTCAAAACTCCAGCTGCTGGATAAGACGTTAGGGAAGGATGCTCCCCACTGTGGGGTTACATGGCTGGGGGCGGGGAGGGTGGCAGTCCTTCCACTCGGGATTCTTAGCTGTAAACCATGATGATAAGCCCATTAAAGCCACTATAACTATCCCTGCATTTAGAAGGGCACAGTGGACACGAAAAATAGATGTCTTTCTCTGATGATTAACTTTTCTCTAGATCACCTGCTCTTGAGTTCTCTCAAATTGTAGATATGCGTTTCTAAACCCCTGTTGTACCCAGAGTTTTGTGCACAGACTTTGGATTCAAACAGTCCTGCATTTAGATCCTGGCTCCAGCACTTGCTAGCTGGATTACATCAGGCAAGTCATTAAACTTCCTCGGCCTCGATTTCATGCTGAAAAGGTAACGACAAAATTAGTAACATCGGTAAACACAACCATACTCAGAGCAGTGCATCTTTGCTGGGCACTTGTGAACGAAGAACGTTTTATTTTTCTAGCCTCGGGGACAGGAACTTAAGCCACTGCGATCTACCCTCCACCTATCGGAGGCTTAACCTCACAACGCATCCTCTTCAAGCCTTTCCGACCACACACGCGGAGGGACCGCTCTCCGCATCTTCTGGTTCTCCAGCACCGACCACAGACTGCCCCGTAGAGTTCGTCATTTTTTCCAGTGCTGGGTCTAATCTCTATTCCATCATCAACTCTAGGGTGACTCTCTGTATTTTCTAAATACTTAACTGATTCTCTAAGGCAGGAGACATTACTTTGTAATATAACTACTACGGGGAATGGTAGCAGGAGAAGGAAGTAAGAAAAGACAGCCAGGCGAGAAGAAAAGAAGAAAAAATTAGCTGCTCTCCCTCTGTGTCTCCTTAACTTCAGCTGCTTCCTATTTGATCTGACATTTGTGAACTCCTTCAGAACTCACGGACCACGCAGGGCCCCCGTACCACCACCTTCTCCAACCAAATTGAATTTCTCATGGCCCCACTGCACTGAGCAGTGGCCCATGGCTTGAAGGTCAACTTCAGACACAACATGCATCAATACCCTTCACACGGGCAAGATCTGCGGAAAGGCAACGAGACTCCCCCAGTCACATCCATCCCCAAATTAATACCGCCTGGTGGAAAAGTTAAGCAAGGGAGGGGCTAACCTCTGTACCGAGTGTCAAACTAGATCCTTGGTCAGTGGGAGCAGCCCACCCAACACAGGGGGTGGGGGAGGGGGAGGGGTGTGGGGGTGGAACAGTGTACTTGACCACAAGTGATCTTTGTGCTCTGAGGAGTACAGCCTGGTCTCTCCACCCTCTGCAAACAGGTCACCAAGCAGACAGATGTCACTTAAGTGGCCATGGAAGGAAGAGTCCATCTCAGTCTCAGTCAGCTATTTTAAGGGCAGGAAAAGAACATAATCATTTGCTTCTCTTCGCTATTCTTAAAGGACTGTGTATTCCAGGCTTTCATGCATTTAAACTGGAAAAGAGAAGGTAACCACTATCCCCTGTCCATCTGTAAACCATTCATCCGTCATCATCGACCAGCGCTCAGCACAGCCCACCTCCGCCCACCCGCCACAGACATACATCGCGTCAGGAAACTCCGCAAGCCTCCGTTCCAGATAGAACACAATGCTCGCCACCCCTGGCTGGCCCCATCCACGCTTCAGGCCTGTGTTTGTCATATTTCCTCACCTGTCAATTCCTCCTTATCCTCTGTGCCAGCTTCAACACTGCCTCACACATGACACGCCCCTTGGTCCCCAAGTATGATCTTCCCCACCCACTAAGTTGCCAGGAGAAAAGGCTTGGATGTTCTGCACAGACAGCCCGGATGTCTGTTTGCCTCTTACACTACACTTGATGCTGGGCAAAGCTGTGTCTCAACAGACTGTAACTTGATGGCAGGGTTACATTCTTATCCATCTCTTATTTCCAATCAGAACCTTTATGGTGCCTGAGTTAGAGCAGGCATGAAATGCTTATAGTCAGTGAAACAGTTTAGCAGCACTAACTTAAAAAAAAAAACTTATTCTAATTTCAGTTTATTAGCCAACCAAAGCCAAGAAGCTCACTCCATTTTTTCTGGTCAGTTAATAAGTCACAAAAAGATAAAGATTAATGTTAGCCTATAATTTAACGTGTTATCTCCTTCATACAGAACTATAAATTAGGAACTGCGCTTAATAATTCACTTAATTTATATTTTGATTAGTGGAAATGCATTTTTCGAATTTACAAATAACTGTAAAAATCATAAAACTGTTACAAAAAGGATTTCATAAATGTTAATGGTTATGAAACAGTTAAGTCATTTAATGGTTAATGGTATCTTAACACAGTAATGCTTCCAAAAGAATTTGGCCTTCAAATATCCAAGATTCCATTCCCGAGTGAAATCCAGATACACTGCATAATTAATAGCTTTGGTTCTAAAAGTAAAGCCAAAAATCCTAGTTGAATAACCAGTTTTCTAGGCAATTCTAACACTAACCCAGAATACAGAAAAATTAAGCCATGACCTCAACACTGAAATCTACTTCAGTATCATTAATGGAAGAATTTTTTTTTAAAATGACTGATCATCCAAATCAGTTTGGTAACCTGGTGACTGAATTTAAATTAAATTCACGCTAGAAATATAAGAATTCTTTTTTTTATATTTGGTTGTTTTATTTTACTCAAATACTGAAGCTTTGCAAAATCCCTGAATCGTTAAGAATTTGTTTCCTTTAGCGTTTGGCTTTTTTTTTTTTAATTTTCCGAGAACGCACGTGAAGCTGCCTGCAGGTCAGTGGCACGCAGCAGTCACTCCTGCAGGCACACACTTGTGAAGCAGGAGGAAGTTCCAACTCTCTGGCAGCCAAAGGAAGACACACATGCACACATGCCTTAGGAATATGCACTTCTGTCTGTGAGAAGGATCAGGCGATGACAGAGAGAGAGACAGAAACAGACAAACACTTCAGCAAAAAGTTAGAGGAAAAGTTATGCTCTTAATTTCTCTGCCAGGAGATGGGAAAAAAAAACCTCATCCAATAGGGCTTTTAATGTCTTAAAGTGTTCTAGGAAGGTTATTTGTAATACTTTTAAAATACATAGAGGTCAACCCCAAACTAATGGAAACACTGTGTGCAATCAATATGACCTTAATTTAAATTCTTCTAAATGACATTGTCTCCATCCAAGCTAACCACAAAAGTGAATTCTGACCAAATATTCCAAGGGTACTGAATGCATCTAAAAAGCAGCAGCTGAAAAAAAAAAAAAAAAAGAAACAGGAAAGAGCTCAGCCCTGGTCTCACCTCCGGCTCTCCCTGTGTGTTCTCTCCCAGGGGAGTTTTCTGGAGCAGATCAAAGATGCCGTTGCTGGAGGCCCTCCTGTCCTCAGTGACAGAGGCGTAGGTCTCCTCTGAGTCCATCTCCACCATGTGGAGGTGGCCGGCTTCTTCCTGGCCCCAATCCAACTCATCCTCAGACTGTTTCAAGGAGCTACTGCTGCTTTTGGGCAGGATCCCTGCAGTGGACAGGCTGCTGGGCACCGAGGTGTAGGATGACTGGGGCCCGGAGTAAGGCAGCCCCTCGGGGGCCAAGGCCTCGGCCTCCAGGAGGTCGGGGACAGACAGGCTGACACGGCGGTCCAGGTGATGCCTGGCCCTTAAGTCCAGTGGTTTGTTTGAGTTCTTTTTCACCTTCCTCTTGCTCAGGTTGATAAACAGAGGCTTGGTCCGCTGCTTCAATGAGCCCCAGACAGATGGTTTATCCAGATCCATGGCTGCCTGGAGAGCAAAGAAGTCACTCTGGGAAAGGGCGCGTCTTCACGGGAGACTTCAGTGATCCCTAGGAAACAGAGGACAAGGAGAAAGAACATGAAACTTCTCAGTGGAGTCAGGTCAGGGCACAGCAAAGTGGGGAAAAGGACTCACAAGTCTTACATGTCCCACTAAGGGATCAAGATTGAAGCATTTGTTTGGGAGAGTCTACAAACATCAGGAAAAGTATTATTAAGGAAATGAATTGCAAGTTTTTGTTTTTTGTTTTAACCAGAATAGTTACAGAAAAGCTAAAGCAATGAACAAAACTATGAGTTTCACACACACACACACACACACACATACACACACACACACAAAATGCTTCATAAGAAGAGTGCTTTTTGTGTCTGGCTTATTTCATTTAGCGTTAACATCCCTCTAGGTTCATCCATGTTGCTGCAAATGGCAGGATTTCCCTCTTTTCATGGCTAAATAATATCCCACTGTTCAAGCACAAATACTAGATTTCCTTCAGCCATTCATCCCTCAGTGGACACTGAGGGTTTTTTCCTATTTTGTCTACTGTGAACAATGCTGCCGGGAACAAGGAAGGCAGGTATCTCTTGCAGATACTGATCTCATTTCCTTTGGATACATACCCCAGAAACAGGATTGCCAGCTTAGTTCTAGTTTTTAATTTTTTAAGGAACCTCCATTCTGTTTTCCATAATAACTATACCAATTTCCGTAACAGCTATACCACCAACAAAGTGTGAGACTTCCCTATTCTCCACACCCTTGCCGACACGAGTCTCTTTGTCTTTTTTATTTTTATAGTCACCATGTATACTTGAACTTTGCTAAGAGAGTAGATCTCAGGTGTTCTCACCACATATACAAATAAAAAGGGCATATAACTATATGAGGTGATGGAGATATTAAGTAACTCGATTATGGTACTCCTTTCATAGCATATATGCATATTAAACTGACCACATTACATATCTTAAATATATCCAACATTTGTCAGTTAGCATAAACTTTGGGAGAATCATAAAAAGTAAAGAGAAAAAAGGAAGACTTTTTTCTTATTTCCTCTCCAGAAAAAGCAGAGCAAAAGACACTTATTAGAAAAGCAATCGCATTTTTTAAGCAAGATGTTTAAGGGAGTGCCTTTCTCTGCCTCTAAACCCAGAGTCGGCAAACAGTTTCTGCACGAAGCCAGTCAGTAAATATTGTAGACTTCGAGAGCCAGGTGGTGGTTTAAACTACTCAGCTTTGTTGTTGTGACAGCAAGGAACATAGACAAGACCTAAATGAAAGAGTGTGACTGTGTTCCAAACAAAAAACTTTATATACAAAAATGAGCAGCAGATTGTAGTTTGCCAATCCTGCTTGAAACGTAACCTTCCTTTCCAGAGTGAAATGTGCATTTTGAAGGACAAATACATGTTCGTATCAGCCAGGATCCCATCCACTATCTTTAAAATTCACATCAAAATAAAAGTGACTAGAGAGAAAAGCATTTATCAAAGGGAGAGATCTGTCCTTATTCCAATACACCAGATCAGAAGAATTGGCAAAAGGTGTACCGTGGGAATCTTAAGGAAAGCAACCTTCAGAGTTTCAGCTTGAGAATAAAAGACTGAGAGAAAATCTTTCCCACAAAGAGCTGGCTGTGAGAGACATAGGAATGTTTCACAAATAAATAAGAATCATTACGGTAAATGCTATGCAGGAAAGGGGGTAATTTAAGACGTAACAGGGTAGACCATTAGGAATCAGATTGCAATCAAAGTTGAAGAACCGCTCTTACTCTATGTGTCGAGTGCCTCACAGTAAATCTTCCCACTATGGAAAAGCACAGGGTGGTCCAGTCACTCTAAGCCGGCCTTGTCCTTACATTGCCGCAAGTAATTGAGGGCAAAAAAGGCCAACAGCACAACAAGAAAACCATTTTCTAAAATCAGAGGCTCCATGCACTTGTACGCAGCCCAGGATATTCAGTCAATGGGAAGTCACTGCCTCTTGAAGGTCAGGACTCTGTGACTTCACAGTCCATGCCTGGTGACCACCAGCATCCCAGGATGGACCTGGGATCTTCCATAGGCAAAGCAGAGATGAAGACCTTGGGTTCTAGAGACAGATCCCCACAGGCTGGAATTCTGCTTCGTTACATTCTACTTAGATGTACTCTCACGTTAAGCCTCGATTTCCTCACCTGTCCGATGGGGTTGATATTACCTAGTTTACCGACAAAATGAGATACAGCGTTAAGTTAAAGTGTCTGAATGTCTGATGCAGAGAAAGTGGTCAAGAAAAGCTATTTTTTGTAATTATTGATAATGCTATCATAATCCCAAATTCTGCTATCTTACTCAGGTTACCTAACAGCCCTGTGTCTCCTTATTATTTCTATTTCACACGTAAGTTTAACCGTAACTACCTCATAGGGGTCTTGTGAACATTGAATGAATTTGTCCATTAATAGGTGCTTAGAACAGAATAGGTGCTTATTCACACAGAATAAATGTTTAATACAATATTAGCTGGTTTTAAAATTATTATTAATTCATATATTTCATATTGGGTCATTCTGGCTTTAAAAATATAAAATATTTTACAATTCTTTGTTGCTTTAAAAAATGTAATTCTAAACATAAACTTGTATTTCATATTAGCAGGACGCAAATACATTATTCAATTATAACTTGTAAGTATGCTCAAAGGGATTATTTCTAAATTCATTTAGAAATATTTTAGTCAAGGTGCATTTAATGGATTGTTATATAAATGTCTATTAGATCTAGTTAGTTGACAGGTTAGTTCTTTTACATTCTTGCTGATTTTCTGTCTACTACTTGTGTTACTTAGAGAGGAGTGTTGGGTTTTTTTCAACTGTAAGTATGAATTAATCTATTTCTCCTTTTAGTTACGTCAGCTTTTGCTTCTGTGTTTTGAAGGGCTCTTGCTATTTGTACACGTTTACAACCATTTTGTCTTCTTGATATTTAAATACAATCTGACAATCTCCATCTTTTAGTTGGTTTGTTTAGACCATTTACACTTAAAGTAATAATGGATACGTTTGTATTTGGGTCTAGCATTTTACTGTTTCCTATTTGTTTCCTCTGCTATTTGTTCTTCTGTTTCCCCTGTCGTACATTGTTTAGGGTTATTTAAACATTTAGTATTCCATCTTAATATATTAATTGTGATTTTTGACTATATCTCTTTCTGTATACTTTTAGTGGTTGACCTAGGGGTTACAGCATGCAGTTAATCTTTTACCCTCCACTTAGAATCAATAATCCAGCACTCCAATTGTAAAAGAGAAACCAAACCACATGCATTTGTTTTCTATTGCTGCTCTCATAAAAAACCACAATCTTAGTGCCTTAATAAATTCGTTATTTTTCAATTCTGGAGGTCAGGAGTCCAATACACATCTCAGGAGGCTAAAATCAAGGTATCCATGAGGCTGCATAATGTCCTGGAAGCTGGAAAGTCTGTCTCTTGGTCAGTCCAGACCCAAAAGCTCCCATTTTCTTGCTGGCTGTCAGCTGAGGGCCTTTTGCAATTTCTAGAGGCTGCCCACACGCCTTGGCCCTCTTCTCCAGCTTTAAAGCTAGAGATAGTCAGAAAAGTCCTTCTCAACACTGCATCTCTGATCCCCTCCTCCACTTTCCTCTTCCACTTTCAAGGACTCACGTGATACGATTGGGTCTACCAGGACGATAAAGGATACTCTTTCCATCTCAAGGTTTATAGTCAAAGTCACATCTACAAGGGTCTTTTTTGCAATTTATTGTAACATATTCACAGGCCTTGGGGATTCGAATATGGATATTTGTGGGGGGCAGGGAGATCATTTTGCCTTCCATACCACCATACAGGTTTCCTCATCCTCCCCCCTTATAAGCTGTCTTATATATTACATCTAAACACACTGAAAATTCCCATCAGACAATGTTTTACTTTGATTTCAGTGATAAACCATTTTTTTTTATAATTCAAGAAGAGAAAAGTCTGTTATATTTATCATTTCCTCCATTCTTAATATTCCAAATTTCATTCTGGTATTGTTTGCCATTCGTCTAAGGAATTTCCTTTGCTAGTAATATTATAGCATGTCTGCTGACTCCAAATTCTCTTGGTTTTCCCTCATCTGAGCATATCTTCATTTCACTTTTAAGGACGTTTCCACTGGATATTAGGTTTTGCACTTTTATTCCAGCACTTTAAAAACAATGTGATATTTCTTTCTGCCCTCCATGATTTGATGAGAAATCTTAATCATTTGAATCACTGTTCTCTTATAGGTAAGGTATCACTTCTCTCTTACTGTTTTCAAGATTTTTGTCTTTGTCTTTAGTTTTCAGCAGTTTTGATATTGCTGAGTGTATATTTCTTTGGATTTATCTTGTTTGGAATTAGCTTAGTTTCTGGAATTTACAGCTTTATTTCTTTTGCCAAACTTGGAAAGTTTTCAGCTATTATTTCTTGGAATATTTTTCAGCCACAATCTTTCTTCTTTCCTTCTGGGCCTCCAAGCATGCAGACATTATGCCTCTTTTGTTATATTCCAATAGTTCTAGGGTCTCTTCAATATTTTTCAATCTTTTTCCTTTCTGGATAATTTATATTGATTTATTTTTCAAGTCTGCTTAATCTTTCTTCTGTCATCTCCATTCTGTTATGGAATCCACATAGTGAGGTGTGTTTGGGTTGTTTTGGGTTTTTTTGTGTGTTTCTGTTTTTTTCTGGTAGGGGGAATGGACAAGAAAGAGAGGCTACTGTATTTTTTTAATTCTAAAATTTCCACTTAGTTCTGCTTCATATTTCCTATTTCTTTACTAATAGTTCCTATTCTAAATTTTATTTCAGGATTCAAGATGATTCATTTGAGTATTTTCATAATAGTTGTTTTAAACTCATCTTTTCATTGTCATCTGTTAATTGTCTTTTCCTATGATTTGAGATGTTTGTAGTTCTTCATATGTCAATATGGACTGTATCCTGAACATCTTCAATGTTTTATTAAAAAATCCTGTGCCTTATTTAAATCTACGGTAAATGTTGATATTACTGTTTTATCATGCAGTTGATTTGGTTAGCT